TTGGTACACTTTTTGGTACACAAAAATTTAGGGAAGTGGCAACCGTGTGCTCAGGCAAAAACTATCGAAACTTTCTTCACATTTCCTCGTGCTGGCCTTGTATGTATCTCCCATAAAACTCCCAGCGGCAACAACCTTTCTGCTCGGCCTGAACAAATCATTTTCCACATCGCTTGCCATGCAGCTCGTAAATAATCGCACTGGCAAGCGTACTTGAACAAAGCGAACAACAACAACAACAACAACAACAACAACGACGACAACGTAAAGCGCCTTTTATGCCACATATCCCACATCTCTTTTGCGGTGCTGCAGAGGCACTTCTCGGCTCATTCTTGGCTGCTGGAATGATTTATTTGCACACTTCTTGGCTGGTGTTCTGTTTGAATGACATTTGCGTCTCATTGCATTTGCAATGCAGTAAATTCACTACTTGGCACTTTCGCAATATAAAGAGGCGCAATAATTACACAACAAATAAGACGAACAAAAGAAAGGAGCCATCCCAGCAGCTAGTGTTGTATTCGTAGATCGACAAGATCACACACCCAACTCGTTGAAGATCAGTAGTTGAAGTTGAAGTTCAGGGTGGTGTAAATGAGTCGAAGAGGAGCAGGAGGAAGTAGGTGAAGGAGAAGGAGCGAATGAGAGCATAAACTTTATGGGCACTTTCTTCGTTCAGGCTCATGTCAGATGATGAATGGCAAGCGGAAGAAGTGGTAAACATGTTGTAAGTGCACAGATTGTGTTGCATAAAACGAAATTAATTTGATGTTGTACACAATACTACATAGTAGGTATGCATGTAGATATGTAAATAAACAAAATACAAAGTTGTAAGTAATATTAAAATATCAATTCCCATTACATTTTCAATTTCTTAATCGTTTGTCCTTCGATTTATTAATAAATATCCTCATTCCAACAACAATTCAACATAGATGTTTAAGTCAAACTGTCAAATTGACAGATGGCACTTTTGTCAGTCACATTAGTCATTTGCTTTAATGGTGAGCGAAACGTTTTGTCAATCTCAGCAATCTAGGCGTCACATTCTAGGTATTCTTCAACGCCACCCCAGATACAATCATTCACTTTGTCTGGTTGAAAAGATTTCGCTAGACATTTTTATTTGTCATAATTGTCGCTGATGTCAAAGGGAAGCGACAGTTGCTAAATAGTTGCATGAAATGGCAAAGCTATTTTAGTATCTACAAATACACCCGTCTGTCAGTTAGTTGGACTGACGTTCGGCAGCATCTAAGAAGAGCACTCATAATTATCATTTTTACGGGCAATATTTCTTGGAAGTTGGATTTATGTTCAGGAATTCACAATTTCAAAAGGGGATGGTGTTGCCAAATGGTCTGGGCGTACAATGCGCAAATACGGCCTACTTTTACATCTTTAGGTACTGACGAAGTTTGTTTTTTAAGTATCATGAGTTATTTTGATATTTTTTCCAAAGTAGGCAGCGTAGATCAAGAAGACAACTGATATCTATTATCATATATGGTTCGATATGCATACATACATATGTTAGCTTGTTAATTTCAATGCCGCACAGTTCGAAAAATGGAATTTGGTAAAAATCAGTTCAGACATCATCTTCATATCGTTACCCTAATATAGAAAGGCCTTAACTTATTTTTTTTCCAATTCAGATTTATACAAAATCGGTCAAAAAGATCACAATACATTTAATAGATATTTAAATTAAATATTACAGCGTTAGATAAAGTATTTGGTTTAAAAAAAATCAGCACTTCGACGAAAGTTTTAAGGAACAACCTTTTATTCAGAATTTTTAGAAAAATTCTTATTTTAGCTATTATTCTGACCTGAGTGAGCGCTGTCAAATTGTCATGTTCTTTTCTCAGCCTTTTCACAGGGCACCGTGTTCTTTTCTCAGCAGGTTGCGCTCTGATCCGGCAAAAGTGCTGCCTTTTCTGCCCTCAAATAAGCGAGAGGGCGAGAGTTGCACGGTTGATTTTTAATTTACGTTGTAAAAATAAAACTATTTTCTGTATAAGAAATAAGTGTTTTCGTATGAAATTAATTAAAGACTTAAAGTGCAAGTGAATCATTCAGTTTTATTAAGTTCTATAAATGAACTTCTGATGAAGTAGCATATTTTCTGTTTTATTCCCATATGAAGAACGCAAAATTTTTTCAGGTTTCAGGGCAACGCAAAGAAGAGTTCCCACATAAAAGGGCAAAATTTATTTTAAGAAATGAAAACGCTTTAGGTACGTAGTTTTTTAGCCCAATACTAAAATTTAAACCAAATAAAAAATTAAAATTAAGCAAATTTCAGGACAGTAGAAAACTTTTTGAAAAATTGTTGGCCAAGGTTGATGACAGTTTTGGTAGCTTTTAAGAAACAAATTCTTAGGAAAAAATCTTTTTTAGATCTCTCTTTATTGTGCGGAATCAAAGCTAGTAGTTAAAGAGTGTTGAAATGGAAAAACTCGTTACTAATATTTTTTTTTCGTAAAACGATGTGGAGAGTTGTAAATCGCTGTTTGTATGACGTCACACTTGTGCAACTTATTTACGTTTTGCTTGCAACATTTCTTCTTCTTCTTTCATTCCTGCTCGCGTTTTGGCATTTCCCTCGAAAATTCACCAGTGTGACGTCACCCAAAAATTATTCTCAAAAATCCTCTCTGATGGGCGCAATCTTGTATTCTACCACTCTTGTGAAACCCATCAGTCAGTCAAAAAGAAAATTTTGATTTTTTTTTAGTTACGACTTTTTGCATTTCAGGGCCGATGTTTGTTATGTTTTTTTGCATTCCAGGTGACGATATGTACATATGTATGTAGGTACTTCTTTCGAGATTGTAGGCGTAGGAAAAAATTTTGTTTTTATTCTAATTTGTTTGGCTTATCTAGCTAATCTGGTAAATAGTCACATAAGAAACTCTGCTGAATGCAGTAGGAATTGGTAAACCACTTAAATATTGGTATTCTCGAGTTCACACTGGGATCCTTACTCCTTAGCACTCATGAGTGTCCGTGAGTAAGTCCTTAGTAATTTTTTTATTAAATGTACTATATATAATAAATATGTATGTACATATGTATGTATGTGCCTTTGTACATACAAATTTCGCATTTTGAGAACTTCAGGAAAG